AGAGCTTGCTGCTAACTAGCTGCAGAGTGTGTGTGTGTGTGTGTGTGTGTGTGTGTGTGTGCACACATGTGTGTGCTGCTGTATTCACCAATGTGTATGCATGTGTATATACAAATGTATACACATACATATATGTACATACACACACACATACAAGTGGTGTCCTAAAAGTCTTGATGCAGAACTTCTCAGTGATTCTGCCCCAGTCACTTCCATCACTCCAAGGTGTACATGCCATTGGCCACCTGGTTTTCTCTCGGGCCCCTCTGGTCCTGATTTCCCCAATGCTCAGGTGTTCTCTTCTCCCCTCCCCAAGTGGCAGAAGGTGCACGTCAGAGAGAGGAGCACGCTCCAGGCTGGGACCTGTCTCCACCTCCTGAATCCCTCAGACAAGTTCATCATTCCCTCGTCCTCATTTCACCCATGTAAGGACTAATTCCCAAGGCCTCTAGATGGCAATGGCCACGTTCCTAGACACGTTCATGGCCACATTCACAGTCACTGAGCGAGGGGGGCCTCCTCGCGGCTCCTAAAGCTTGGGTTTCTTGTCTAAGTTCCTGGGGGGTAGGGGTGGCACGCACTGTATTTCCATCCCCAGAGCCTGGCACATAGGTGCTTAATGCATATCTGCTGGTGACTGACTTGTTGAACTGCCCGGTTCCTCAAACTAACTCAATTCGACAGAAATGGGAGCCAGCCTATCATGTGCCAGGCCATCCCCACACAAGGGTACAGAAGATTTTGGTTCTAAGGACAAAGGTTCAAATCCTCCATCAGCTGCTTTCCCCCGGATGATGCAGGCCAATCCCTTGCCCTCCCTGGGCCTCAGTTTCCTCAGCTGTTAAAAGAGGCTCTTGGGCTCAGAGGCCTCCAAGGGCCCTTCCAGCTCCATGCCAGCTGGGCGCTGGGCACCCAGACGGCACAGCAGACAACACTCCTGGGCTGTGGGGAGTGTGAGGAGTAATGGAGGGCAGCCTGACTTCCCATGGGAGTCCTAGGGTTGTAGGCCGGGGGCAGGGCTGGGGTGGGCACGGCGAGTGGAGGGAGCAGCGGCTTGGCTTCATTTAATTTGTTTTATTTTGGGAAGCTGTGGTGGATCCTGGGCAACGTCCCTCTCATTCCAAAGCTCAGACACGCCCTGGCACGTCTGGATCGGAAAGGTTTCCCTACACTTTCGAATGACTAAGTCGGGGGAAACTCAGCCCAGGGAATTTGTCAGACTTGTCTCAATGGTGCCAAACGCCTGCTCGGGCAGAAGAAGGCTCTGCTCTCCCAGCCATGGCGGCTAGCTGGCATCCAGGACTGATGGGCGCAAGGAGCAAGCTCCCCCTGAAGGAGCAGCCTGGAGGGGCCTGGCGCTGCTCCTCCCCCACCCTCGCCCCCTGCCCCAAGCCAGGCTTCTCTGCCCCTGGCAATGGGCAGAGGGAGGTCTATATATATCCCCCACCCCCTGCACACACTCCCCACATACCCATACATACCCCCACACACCCATACCCCTCACATACACATGCACACACCCCCCAAACCCACACACACCCATTTCCTCCCACATACACACACACACACACACACACACACACACACACACACACACACCTTACCCCCCACATACATGTGGACACATCCCCAAACCTACACATACTCATTCCCTCCCACATATATACACACACACAACCATATTCACACACACACAACCATACTCTCCCCCACACATACACATACACACAACCATACTCTCCCACACACACACACACAATCATACACACACACACACACACACACACACACATACTCATACACACACAACACCATACTCACACACACACACACACACACAGCCTGGGGGCTTTTCAGCTCTGCCCTGCCTTCCTCCTTTCTTCCCAGCCCCTGCCCCATTACAGGGTTCGTCTGCTGTTCTCCTAGGCACAGCAGGAAGGCACCGGAGAGAGCACTGATCTTGCTGTTGGGAGTCCTAAGACTGAATCCCAGCTGTGGGACCAGCTGTGGGACCACGACTATATTGCTTTGCCTCAGTTTTTCTCACCTGGAAAATGAAGATGATAACACTACCTCAAAAGATCACAGCAAGGAATCTATTGTTCTTCAGTTGTATCTGACTCTTTCTAACCCCATTTGGGATTTTCTTGGCAAAGACACTGGAGTGGTTTGCCATTTCCTTCTCCAGCTCATTTTACAGATGAGGAAACAGGCAAGTAGGGTGAAGTGACTTGTCCAGGATATCTTGCATCTTGTAGGACCTTCATAAATGCTTGCAGATCACCAGATTCCCTGCCTCCATGGGACCGGTGATCTTCCTGGGTCACCAATCATTCTTTCTTCACTTTTTCTGGGGAGGCTGAGTCTTCCTGTCTCGCCCAGGCTGGAGAGAAGTGGCCACTTCTGATAACACAAAAGCTTTTTCCATTTTCCCACCCTCCACAGGTGACCTTGCGCCCTCTGCTCACCACAGTCATGCTGAACGTACAGACCCCTGACCAGCTTAGTGCTACGGCGTAGAACTCCTGAACTCACGGGACACGGCCTCAGCCTCCCCTCCGAAAGGGCTCCCAGTGTGACCCATGACGCCTAAATTAGACTATTGATCATTCTTTTAAAAAGCAAGCCAGAAATGGAAATCCTATAAATTGCCATTTGCTTCCACGGGAAGCTTGAGAAAAGCCTTCCCTTCCCACACGGGGTGAATGGCGTGGCCAGAGCTCAGACCCTGGATTCTGCACCAGGGCCCAGACTGGGGATCCTAACAGCCCTGGGCATGGTCTGCCCAGGAAAGTGCAGAGTTAGCATCCATCATAAAAAGAACGGAAAAGACTTAGGGGGGTCATGCTTTCGCAGGCTCCCTAAGCCTTTCCACTCTGCTCATCCCTGGATTCCAAAGCCAAACTTTCAGAAGCCAAATGTGGATTTTACACACTACAGCGCCGCACTCAGGATCCTACTGGGAGATGTCCATGTCTCTGCTTCCTGTTCATTCACAGGCCCATCCCCAATCCCTTCCCTCTACAGAGAATCCCCCTGTCCTTGGTCACTGCTTCTCCTCCAGGTAAATCCATTAAGTCTCACCAGCTACTTTGGCTGATAAGAGCCACTTTTAATAGGAAACATGGCCAAGGCTTGGCCACACCAACATGAGACCATGTACGGTGTGTTATTAAACAGCTTTGATGGCAGATGCCTTAACTTAACCTTTCTTCCCTCATCCATCAAGAAAACCCTTTACTCCCCCAACCCATCAGATTGTCTCAGCATTCACCCCCCTCCTAAAAACGATCGTTTCTTGTAACCATCAGTGAAGGAGGAGATGGGGCAGAGGACTGGGCCTGGACAGCCCAGGTGATAGCTGAAGCCAGACCAGGCACAAAGACGGGGGCACATCAGCATAGGAGCAAGGTGAAGCTAGATGCTACGTGGGACTGGCACCAGCACCTGGCCTTAGGGATCGGCTGAAGGCCCACAAAGGCTGGTCACTTCAGAAGAGATTTTTAAAAAGGCTTTAGACTGAGAGGCAGACCCAGGCAATGTTGCTCTAGCACCCTGGAGAGCTCCCTAGCATTCAGGGCCTTGGGTGCCTCCTAAGGCACTCTTCCACACCTACTCCACTGATGCCTCCTTCCCTCTGGCCTCTTTGGTTGTTCAGAAAGTATCTCCTCTGCTATGCCATGGGTAGACTTGAGGCAGCTGGGGAATCACATTCTTCACACCAGCCCTCAGGAGCAAGGGCCTCCAGTGTGCATGGAGGAAGAAGTCTACAAAGATGTTTGTGTGCCCAGAGGGTCCAGCAGGTGTCCTGACAGCCTGACCCTCAGGAAGCTGATCCTCTGGAGGCTGCTCTCCCTCCTGGGGCAGGGCCACCTCGACCTCAGGATTAGGAGCAGTACTGGGAGTAAGTATGGGGGGGGGTAGGGGAGATGGGGGAAGGCTGATTTCCTATCCAATTTCCGCACTACCGCCCTCACTTTGCTCAGTAGAGGAGGTCTTCCAAATGAATAAACTATAAAAAGGGAGACTGTATATGTCTCCAGAGAACCCGCTGAGCATCTAGCCATCTCACAGTTTCTGTGGGAGTCCCCTGAGAACAGAGATTGCCTTTTGCCTTTCTTTGTATCCACAATGCTTAGCACAGCACCTGGCACAAAGGGGCACCTCAAATACTTGAGCTGACTGACCAATCCATGTCCCTCTGGGTGACCCTCTATAGTCATTCCCTGAGTGACCATGTCCAGCAACAGGAAAGAGCAGCTCTAGCTGCACAGGACCTTCAGAACTAGAAGGGATCTCAGAGGTCACTGAGTCCGGGACCTTCATGTTATAGCTGAGGAAACAGGCCCTAAAAGGGGAAGTGACTTGTCCAAGGTCACAGAGTTAATAAGAACCAGCAGAACAGGATCTGAACCCAGGTCCTCTGACTCCAGGGTCTAAACCCTCCTGGGCACAGTCTCATGGGCAGAATGGAACCTGGCCCCGATGCCAGGCCAAGGAAGCGCAGTTGTGCATGGCACATTCCCACATTGTAGCCTCTGATGTCACGTCATGACCACAACCCCACAATATCAGTTCCTTTGAACTACACGTAATATGGCAGACTGCCACCCCAGCAACAAGCCGCCATCTTCTTCAAGGGCCATGACCTAGAGCTTTGGTTTGTGCTCCACCCACGAAGGCCATGAGTATCATCCTTCCATCCCCCAACAAGTATTATCAACTATATCAGACCATCACATACAGACTAGAGGATTCACCTTGATGGGCTGGAGGGCTCCCTCCCTAAACCCAGCCTCACCTTGCATGACCACAGAAAGACTCATTTGTTATCATCTCTTCTGGCGCCGTCCAGTCTTTGAAACCCAAGCTGCTAAGCCCCCATGCCTCCCCGTTGCGGTCTGGGTGATTTAGGGGAGCTGCTGGGCCCCCAGAAGACATTTCTACGAGAGGCCGCGTAACCAACACGAGAGAGAAGGAATGCAATAAAAGAGACTGACCTGAACTTTCCTGTGCGCACCTGCAATGCCCTTATCCCACAGCGCTGGGCCCCTCCGACATCGCTCACAATATCATCTCCAATCATGATGGTCTGTCATGGGAATGAAATACACACAAGATGGATGTCAGGCACATTTTATTCAGTCTCCACTTCATCTTCGCTGACATAATAAACGGCTTGATTTGATGGTTAATGCGGCCATTGTACAAATTAAACAAGATAATATTGTCATTGTATTGATTAAAAGTCACCCTACCTGCACCGTATTTCATGTGGCCCCTCTGCAGGGGAGGCCTCAGAGCGGTATAAAGCCACGCCATTTGAAATCAATCAAAAGACGTCAAAGTGATTTGGCATCACAAAAATGAATGGGGAAACTCAGCCGGTCCTGCATTTCTTGCCTGGAACATCTGCAAGGTTTTATTGGCTGCTAATGACCACACACTCGTGCTATTTTCCATCTCCCTAAGTTTCAGAACTTTTTTATAAAGGTTAAATGTGTTTCTTTAACCTTTCTGACCAACATTTTGAAAGGATTTTTGCCTTTAAACAGCAAAGGTATTGCTGATTAAAGGCAAAACTCCACACAGGCACACACGCACCCCACAGGAATGCAGAGCACGGAAGGAATAGAAAAATGCAAACTCGTCCCGACCCAACAGATGACTTCTTGGAGCAAATTTTTTAAAGACTGAATTCCTGGAAAAATCCATCAACAAACATCTACTAAGCACTTGCTACGTCCAAGACCCTGGTCTAGGCGCTGTGGCAACAGAGATAAAAAGCCACCCAGCCCCTGCTCTCAAGGAGCTAACAGGGGAGAGGATGCTACCTCCGTGACCACCACAAGGCATTTGCCCCTGGGCCTCAGTTTTATCATCTGCTGAACTAGATGGCCTCTGGGGTCCCTTGTACCTCTTAATCAAAGGAAATAAGGACAGAGCTACTGGTGGAAAATCTGGGGAGGAGAGAAGCCTCGAGCTGGGAAATCTGGGATGGCTTGAGGAAGAAGGGGACCCCTGAGCTGGGGCTGGAAGGAGAGATCCTGGAGGTCACAGAGAGCTTTGTGAGGGGGGGAGGAGACGGTGAGAGGTGCACTTCAGGAAAATCCCGCTGGCAGCTTTGGCCAGTGTGCACTGGAGGGAGGAGCCCTCGGGAAGGCTGTGCCATTAGGAGGGGAAGAGGTGAGAGGCAAGGGGGGCCAGAGCTGGGGGGCAGAGGCCTGGGGGAACGGAGAGAAAAGGACAGACAGAACAAGGGATGTTTCAAAGCAGGAAGAAGCTCATCTAAACATTCCCATGCGTCTCTTCAGTCTGCCTACCCACTATCCCTTTGCTGTTCAGTCATTTCAGTTCTGTCTGACTCTTCCTGACCCCATTTGGGGTTTTCTTGGCAGAGACACTGGAGTCGTTGGCCATTTCCTTCTCCAGCTCATTTTACAGATAAGGAAACTGAGGCCAGCAGGGTGAAGTGACTTGCCCAGGGTCACACAGCTAGTAAGTGTCTGAGGTCAAGTTTGAACTCAGGAAGATGAATCTGCCTGACTCCAGGTGCAGCGCTCTCTCCACTATGGTACCCCCCTAGCGGTCCCACTATTTCTTACAGTCCAATAATATTCCATTTCATTTATATACCACGGGTTGGTCAGCCATTCCCCAAAGGATGGGCATCTGCTTGGTTTCCAGTCCTTTTTTACCACAGAAAGTTCTGATGCACATGGGACCCTTCTTTCTATCCCTGACCTCATTGGAAGTGCATGCATCGTGGTAAATCTCCAAGGCAAAGAGCAGGGACATTTTCATCACTTTCTTAGCATAATTCCAAATCATTTCCCCCAAATGCTTGGACCCATTCTTACTTGTACATAGCTGCTGCATGCCCGTCTGCCCCATTCAACTGTAAGATCCTTGAGGGCAGGTATTAGTTTTTGTTTTTCTCGTATTGAAGGCACAGTGCCTGGAACATAGCAGGTGCTTAATAAACTCTTGTTGACTTGACTTGAGCAGGTGGGAATGAGGAGAGAAGGCAGCTCAGCCCCGGAGGGGCCCTCCTGGATACACAATGGGGGAAGAAGAAAGATGAGGTGGCATCTGAGCTGAGCCTAAAAGGGAGTCATAGGCTGCAGTAGAGGCAGCCAACAGACTTGGAGGCAGAACAAACTGAGTTTGAAACCTGCCTTTGAAACTTTCCAGCAATAAGACCCTGGGCAAGACAGTGGCCCTCCCCTAGGCTTGTTGAGGATTACGTCAGATACTATGTGGAAAGCACTTTGCAAATTGTGGAGTGCTAGCTAAAGGCGAACTATGAGAGGCATGCACTGGAGGCAGCCAGCACAAAGGGAGAGGAGGCTGGAGATGAGCTGTTGTCCACAGGGCACAGCACACAGCCACTCTGGCTGGAATGTGTGAGGGGAAGGAAGGCGTGCTCAGCCTGCAAGGAAGAGCTGGAACCAGGCTGTGAAGGACTTCAGAGATGTCTGTATTCTGTCCTACAGGCAACAGGAAGCCACTGAGACTTCCTGAGGAGGGAAATGACACACTCAGGCACCTCCAGTGCACTCCATCAATAAGAGTTTCTCTTGCACATGTTATTATCACCTAAGATTCCGTGAAAGAGAGACTGTTGTTAGCTTAGATTCAAGGACCCTCCGATGGTCCACCTCAAGAAAGGCCGACACTGACAGCCACATGTTCCCCATGGCATCTGCCATTTTTATGGAGAATATCTAGAGCAGAGACCAAGTGGAAGAGGGATTTGAAAGGCTGGTGAGGACCCACAGATGTGGTGGTTTGTGGAAGCCATTGTGCTGAATGATTCACCTCTAGAACTGTGAAAAGTCTTTTATGAGAACTGTAATCCCTGCCAAGAGTCAAGAATTCAGCCTCACTCTCCACAAAGGAAGAATTAAGTAGAGAGAAGACTCTCTATTATTATCCTAAGCAAAAGCAAGGATAAAGAAGGTAGGGAAACTTGGGAAGACTTTCATGAGCTAACAAACAATGGAATAAGCAGCAACATCAGGGCAAGATGGCGGCCAACTGAACTCATCTCAAACCACTGACCAATCTGAGCGCAGGAGGAAGGGGCTGCCTCCTTCCTCTCAATAAAACAGGGGCAGGATGCCCATCAACTGGGGAATGACTGAGCAAGTTGTGATATATGAATGTAATGAAATACTATTGTGCTATAAGAAATGATGAACAGGCTGATTTCAGAAAAACCTGGAAAGACTTGTATGGACGATGCTGAGTGAAGTGAGCAGAACCAGGAGAACGTTGGACACAGTAACAGCCACCTTGTGTGATGACTAACTTTGATGGACTTAGCTCTTCTTAGCAATGCAAGGATCTAAGACAGCTCCAAAAGTCTCATGACGGAAAATGCTATCCATATCCAAAGAAAGAACTATGGAGTTTGAATGCAGATCGAAGCATACTATTTGCTATTTTTTTCTTTTGTTTTTTGTTTCTTCTTTCTTGTGGTTCCTCCTATTGGTTCTAATTCTTCTTTACAACATGACTAATGTGAAAATATGTTTAATAGGAATGGATATGTAGAGCCTACATCAGATTCTATGCCGTCTTGGGGAGGGAAGGGGAGAAAATCTAAAACTCAAAAGCTTATGGAAATGATTGTTGAAAACTAAAAATAAATTGTTTTTAAAAATAATTTTAAAAAATTTTTGAAAAAGAGAGACAACTCCCAAAGCTACAGTCACCAGAGCTCAGGAGCCTTGTCACCAACTTCCCACTGACCTTCTCCAACTCAATGTCCCATAGGCTCCTCAAATTGACTGCATCCCTTAACCTACCCCTGCCTTTCCCACATCCTCCTTCTGATCACCCGGGTTCCTCAGCTCAGAGCCAGAACTGACTCCTCCTCACTCCCCCAACCTCCACAGCATCTCTCCTTCCATCCCCTTTGCTCCGCACCCCAACGACTTCTCAAGACCTCATGCCCTCTCACCTTGATAACTGAAATCATCTAACTGGTCTCCCTGTTCCCAATTTTTACCTTCTTTAATCCATCCTCCACTCAACAGCTTACCCTAAAGCACAGGTGCGACTGGGCCTTCCTCTCTCAAGGATGTTCAATGGCTTCCTGCTGCCTCTAGCACGAGACAGAAGCTACTGCGCTTGGCATCTGAAGCCCTTCAACGGTCTCCTTCACACACTGTACAACCCTGCCAACCTGGCTTCCTTGCCTCTTTTCCTTTGTCCAGGCTGTGCCCCACACCTGGTATGCCCTCCCTCCTCACCGCTGCCTTTTTCAAAGCCTCATGTGTCTCTCCGTCATCCTAGCTGTTCCTGCTCTCTTCCTCCTCGATAATCTCGCAGTCACTTCTCTGTTTACATGCCACACCCCCAGGAGGATAGAAGCTCCCTGAGGGAAGCAATTAGGTTTGCATTTTCTCTTTGTATCCTAGGAGACTAGCTAACATGGCACATAGTAGGCAGTTAATGAGCACTCACTAAACTCAGTTGGATTGGACAAACACGGAGGACGGACAATTAACTTGAACAGGAAGAAGAAAGCCAGGTGCAAAGCATTTCAGAAACTGTGCACAGCTGCCAACAGGTCTGAGTTTCTCCCTGAAACAGACACCATAATTCCTGAGAATTAAAACTGCGTCAGCGAAATGACGGAGAAGCAGGTCGCTCTACTCTCCACAGAGATGTGGAGGCCTATGGGTGCAGAATGGGGGATACACTCAGGTCAATGTGACAATTCGTTTGTTTAGCTGTTCTTCTTTGCTGTAAAGCAGGGAGGGGTGGGGTCACTGGCAAGGAGTACAGATGTTTAGAAAAAGGCCATCAACTTATAAAAGTGAATGTTGAAAACTATGTTATGTGTAACTGGAAAAAATAAACTACTACTAAGTGGGGGAAAGCTGCTGGTCACCAGAGGGGAGTGTCAGAATTGACGGCATGGCAGCTCCAATGAAATGTTTTTCACGCACAGGAAGACCTCCTTCACTGAGACACAGCTACCTTGGGGGGCATTACAGCCTCAGTTTACTTTTGGCACAATTTCTGGTGCAAAAAAGGAGTTCACTGAGCAAGTTATTAAATAAAGTCTACTGGGAAAAC